GCCATTATCAGTCGCAAAGGCTGGCGACGCTATCTGCATTTTTGAATAAGAATGTAGGAGACGGCTCACAACTTCGGATAAAGACAGACCTTGCGTTTGTGAAAAGAAAATATCAGTAAAATGTAGGAAACAGATAAAATAACGTTTGACAATAAATCAAACACTGTGGCTATTCTTACGACATCGACAGCAGCAATCGCCCAGTGCGAAAGTATAGTGAATGCGCATGTTTCCACTTGTAAGAATAGTCCATAAATAATTGTTATGCCTGGTCGTAAGAATAGCAACAGTGTACTTACAAACGGCGTGATGTCCAATAAGTTGCCATTTACGTAATTTCGTGTAAATGATCCTTAAAAAATCTCGTTTCCCTGAAGCCTATCTTTACTGATGTGTAATATCATTATTAAAACATGTGACTACAAACGGTCATTCAGAAAGTGTCATGAAAGGAACGGCTCTCAACCTGTTCTTAATCTGCTTTTGCACTTGATCAAGAGTGCCATGTTAAACTACGCAAACAGACGACGTTTCTTTATGACCCAACCAGCGTATTCTTTATGACCATATTTATCTCATTTGGTGAAATGTTAGTCCTCAGTAAAGGAAAAGGGAGACTGGAAGGAGAACCCACAAGCTTCTCTGTGCAGTTCTGTTTTGGTATAGACGTGTCTTGATATACCCTCGCGTAGTGATTGAGTTTCAAATCTAACCTTCGAGAAACTTGCTTTCTTGATAATAAGAATTATCGGGAGAGGCATTTCTGGAAGTATTTCGTCTCACCCGTTTCTCAATACTTACACACACACACATATATATGTATGTGTGTGCGTGTTCGTATATGCGTGTGTGCTTGTGTGTATGTATATAATAAGTCGCTGGTTAACTGGTCAACACTGAATATTAAGCTGACAACTCAAAATTCGTATCCTGCGTGCTTTCATTATCTATATAATTTTAATTCAACAACTAGGCCGCCACTTCAGCATCCGGGAGTATGTCAATTTTAGTAAAAATAAAATGTCCTGATGTCGTTAGCTGAGATACGCCTTTTCCCAGTCTTGGTGACTAAGGATCAAAGTCGAGATTGAAGCGTAAAATTAATGGTACACTTACTGGAGATTTCACCGTGGAAAGCCTGGTCTTGCTCGCTGTGACCGCTGAATGCTGAGCCGTGACTGTCTGCGGGGAGGCGACCGGGCTTACTCCCCGCGCAACATGAACAGTGTGAGCGGACACGCAACAAAGCCTTATATGGTCATGCGAGGGACTCCATGTGCGGTGACGTTGGACGCCTTTCCGTAGATTTACTTAGCCTGAGTTGATGGACAGAGAAACCTGAGGTAGTCGCTCTGTCTCTCGAGAAGGAGGCTGCGACGACGCCTGAGCGCGAACTACCCTGAAGGGACGTGTCGGCGAGAACAGAAAACGAAGGAACAAGGGAACACTGTACACACTTTTATGTCTCAGTCTCTCTCTCTCTCTCTCTCTCTCTCTCTCTCTCTCTCTCTCTCTCTCTCTCTTCTCCTCTCTCTCTCTCTCTCTCTCTCTTCTCTCTCTCTCTCTCTCTCTCTCGACTTCAAATATTGTATATACATACACTTTATTGTAACTTGACTCCATATTTTATCACACATGAGCAGACCAGGTCTTGCCTCCCTGAGATGTAGAGGGAATTTGTCTCTCGCTCTGATGATCTCCCGCCTCTACCTCGCCATAGGCGTCCTGCAGTATACAGTGCTCTACTGTTTATCGCTGGGCCAACGCGTCCTGCGCCCCGAACGATATAATGAACTGCCTCCAGCGCAAGCAATTATGACTCACCGTCACTCTCGCCGATTACTGTTTAACCACATTTAAACTCATATCATGCATATGCTCAAATTGTAACTCGGAAATGTCATTGCTTTCGTAATCATTATTATTGTCGATACTATATTTATCAATTTATGAATATTCTACCGACATACCTTATCATGAATCTTTTAGTCTTGTTAACATGAAAACACTTTTCTCACATGCCACAGCACTTAAGGTATCCCTTAAAACACACATGTGGTCATATGTTTCTAAATTTGTTTTCATTCAAATTCCTTTGCGTTTTCAATTGTGAAATGTTTCATAATTTCTGTGCAGGCGACACAGACCGCTCTGCCTCGCTCCTCCGTACCAGCTGCCATACTCCCCCAGGAATAAGTCTAAAATCTACGACAACGTTAACTCCACCACCTTCAAAGTAGGGGGATGCGTCAGCCCCGCATTTACACTCGCTATTCTGGCATGTTTTACCGGGGGGAAATCAGGTGATTATGCATGATACATGATTAGCGAAATGGAATTAGAATAAGATCAATAGAAACTAAAGGGCAGGGAGAAGTGGTGATTCACAAATTTTCCAAGCAAGAGAGGACAGATGGTGTTGTGTGTGCGTGTGTGTGAGAGAGAGAGAGAGAGAGAAAGATACAAATAGCTTATTTCGGGATTATAGTCATAAACAAGATAAGCTTTCACAAGGCTTTATTATTTTATCAATACAAATAAATTATTAATTCTAATTTGTACGCAGTGTAAATTATCAAACAGCAATCTTGTACACAAAGATCTCAGACTCTTGAGAATCTCACACAAATATTCATCACACGTAAATAACCTTTGCAATCTTTGGCGCGCCCAGTGGCATGTATCTGCGCCCCCCCCCACCCCCACCCCTCAAGTATTAAAAACTGATACTCGCTGCCGAAGTAACCGATTTTTCCGTTATAAGGGGTCGCTGTTTTCCAAGTGGATTTGAACTCTAAAGGACACATGACTACGCCATCGCATGCAAAATCAAATGACATACAAAAATACAACTGAATGAATAAATAGCTATATAATCTGTAATATAAATTATTTAAACATCTTTTCCTCTACAGGTGACGCATACAAACAGCATGTTAAAAACAGAACATCAACACCGCCTCTGCCTTCCAGCATTTTTCAAAAACAAATATCACTTGCAATTATCTTTGCGAATTTGTCTAAGTATCCATGAGGTATATTCTACAACGTTGGTGTTGACACCCGGATATCCAGGCACTGCACACCTTTCTCCAAACGAGACGATGCCGAGCTGAAAGATAAAAATTGTGATTTTTACAAAATAAAACTGAAAACAGCAAAATCTGTTTCATTATAAGAAACAAGCTCTTCCTTCGAAGCGCAGTGTCAAAATCTGTAAACACAACTAATAACATGCTCCCTGAAAACAGCCACTTTCAAACTAGCATATGGAGAAATATCAATCAAAAATGATTCTTAAAACACGTAATAGGAGAGCAAAGAGAACATCCACTAACCTGGTACCACAGCGTCCCCAGCTGCATCACCACAGGCCCTCCAGAATCCCCGAGGCAGGAGTCCACGCCCGGAGCAGCTGTGCACACCTGGAAAGGAAAAATACTGTTCGTAAAGTCTCCAACTTTGGACTGATCATACCGTTTCTGCAAATATTCAGATGGCTTTTGAATCACGGTAATTATTCGCACTTCATGTGTACGAGAGGGTTAAGACTCACGTGTTTTTTCGTGATGATATATTTGCTTTCGAGAGACGTGTAGTTTTTCTTACATTCCTTCAGACTGGTCACCATCAGCGTGCCTTTCTGCAACTTTCGCGGGTCCTTGCCAGCTGCAAAACAAGACATTTCGTCATAACGTCACCGTAATTCTACCATCCTCAGTATAAAGTAAGACCAGATCTATTATACGAAAGGAGTCCAGACACGTCACGAAGGCACTCACTAAAGCTCAAGCTCCCCCAGCCAAGGACAATAGTGTTGAGGTCCTCGTAGTCGCCTTCGGGTGGCAGGCATATGGGGGCGACGCCGGGGCCCAGAACCAGGTCTTTTCGCAGCATCAGTAGAGCAATGTCCGCTCTCTGTGGGGAGAATCATTTTTGCTGAGAAAAAATGGGGATGAAATAGTTTATATTGTGCGTGGGGGTAGAGTGTATATATACATAAACAAATTGATAAATATATAGATAAAGAAAGGGAGGGAGAAGGAGAGGGAGAGGAAGAGGGAGAAGGCGAAGGCGAAGGCTAAGGCGAAGGCGAGGGAGAAGGAGAGGGAGAGGAGAGGGAGGGAGAGAGAGAGAGGGAGAGAGAGAGAGAGGAGAGAGAGAGAGAGAGAGAGAGAGAGAGAGAGAGAGAGAGAGAGAGAGAGAGAGAGAGAGAGAGAGAGAGAGAGAGAGAATTTTTCATTATTGTCAATATTCGTTCGTAAGTATTCCGCTTGCACAAAACCAGCTCTGAACCCTCAGGGCCGCCACACCTGCGTCGACGGTCTATACTTCGGGTGGAGGATGATCTTCTGAACCCTGATGGACTGCTTGACTGTTTCGTCTTTGTTCTTCACGTCGTATTCGTTAGCTTTCACCACCACCTTGTCGCCTTTCTCAATCTCCCTGAAAGAGCAATGGTAATTCAACCTTTTCATATAAAATAATGCATGTATTCGGCAAGACTCTTTTCCACCTTCGGACAGGAATTCCGACTCAGCAAAGTCTCTGGTGCCTACAAAGCGTGCTCTAATGCCCCCACAGGATCCCCTGGAAGCGTTGCGCACACCTCCTTCAGGAGACTTACACATCAAAGACGCAGTGGGCGGCCGTCAGAATGAAGCGCGGGCTGACAATCGTCCCGCCACAGAAGAGCAGCGAGCCCTTGATGAGCAATTGCAGGTACACCATCCACGGCCACTCGCCCTTGTCGGCGTTGGTGCCGCCCTCGACCTTCCAGACTGAGGACGAATCCGGATCTAAGGCAGCTCTTGTGTCATTCTCAAAGGAGGCGTCGGTCGTGATTTCCGTGGCAGCTTCTGTGAAATATTCTGTGGTCTCTTCCGTAGTCACTTCTGTGATCTTCTGAACGAGGTCGATTGCAGTTTGTACATTAACATACAGTGAGGGTATGCTATCGGCATCTACTTTAGTCTTACCGCATACTGGAACGATATGATACAGTGAATAATGTGAAGAAAAGTGTGCACTAAGGTCTATTTAGCCTCAGATGCCCACAAACATTAAAAATTATGAAATAGTAAAAGTATGTCATTATCAATATGCACTTGGACTCTTGAATTATATCTGACAAAACATAACATCACCTTTAACTACATTTAGGTTATATATATAGAAAATACATGTACCATTTAACAATCGCATACCACAAAAATTACTTTTCGTTACTTACACATTGGGCATTTTTGTTTGCCTTGCGGCCGATGACCTTCACCTCCTGTGGAATGGTGAAAGAGACAACCAATTTCAAACACTTTTATTCATATACAGAATTCAATTGAAGGAAAATTTATGAATATTACAAACTATCCACTTCCTCCAAAAATACCCAAGCATTTAACTTGGTTTCTTTATCATAAAGAATATTGTAACTCCGAAATTATCGGGGATTTTTTAGGGTTAATTCTGAAAAATGTATAATAATTTTCGTGAATGAGAATTTAAGATATTTAAAATGGGTATCCGGGTGTCGATCATACAATGTCATAGTATCTCTTCGGAGAAAAATACGTGTTACTTAAAATGTATTTTAAAAAGATCAAATTACCAATCATTACCATTAAAATGCAAAGAATTACGAAGCAAAAATATTTTGAGCTGATTTCCGAATAATGCAGAATCAACTACACGGAATTTCGACTGTGTACTATATATTCTAGCAGGAATAAACAAACTATACTAAATTGAAGTGACAGCTTGTTATTAATGTTTTTACCCATTGACATAATATATACTAATAAATTACAGGATATGCAACCAAAACCTATGAAATACCATATTACTGTTATACTCTTAAACGAACTCTATACTATAAGTTTTAGTTCGCTGTATGATGTAAGACTGTGCGATTTATTTGAGCTCTTGCAGGATTATGAACCTAAAGAAAAAGTATGATATGCATAAACAAAAAAAAACATACATATATCAACTTGCCAAACTACCGGAAAAAAACACACACATACAGGCGCACACACACACACACACACACGCACACACACACATACACACACACACACACACACACACACACACACACACACACACACACACACACACACACACACACACACACACACACACACACACACACACACAACACAATATACTCAATAACACACCCACTCACTCATTCATTCACTCAATCAATCACTCATTTTATCACTCACTCACTCTCATTCACTATCATTCCCTCGCTTATTCACCTACTCTCTCACACATTCATTCAATCACTCACCTAGTCACTCATTTTCTCATCCGATCACTCATTCCCTCACCCATTCACTCAATCAGTCATTCATCATTCCCTCACACACTTATTCACACACTCACTCACTTACTCACGCACTCACGACCTTCCACCTCGAACCTCGCACCTGTACCGATGACGTTGCACTTGACCACCGAAGGTTCTGCCGAGGAATCTGCACTCCCGAGGACGGGCCTGTGCGTCAGGAGGAGCTCCGTCAGCTTCCTCTCCTTCACCGTCGCCGTCCCGCCACAAATCCTTGAAGGGGAGAGAAGAACAGGGTGTGGGTGAGAACGTTCTTGAAGGAGAGAGAAAATGAAGAACAGGTGTGGTGTGAGAACGTTCTTGAAGGAGAGAGAAAATGAAGAACAGGGTGGGTGAGAACGTTCTTGAAGGAGAGAGAAAATGAAGAACAGGTGTGGGTGAGAACGTTCTTGAAGGAGAGAGAAAATGAAGAACAGGGTGTGGGTGAGAACGTTCTTGAAGGAGAGAGAAAATGAAGAACAGGGTGTGGGTGAGAACGTTCTTGAAGGAGAGAGAAAATGAAGAACAGGGTGTGGGTGAGAACGTTCTTGAAGGAGAGAGAAAATGAAGAACAGGGTGTGGGTGAGAACGTTCTTGAAGGAGAGAGAAAATGAAGAACAGGGTGTGGGTGAGAACGTTCTTGAAGGAGAGAGAAAATGAAGAACAGGGTGTGGGTGAGAACGTTCTTGAAAGGAGAGAGAAAATGAAAACAGGTGTGGGTGAGAACGTTCTTGAAGGAGAGAGAAAATGAAGAACAGGGTGTGGGTGAGAACGTTCTTGAAGGAGAGAGAAAATGAAAACAGGGTGTGGGTGAGAACGTTCTTGAAGGAGAGAAAAATGAAGAACAGGGTGTGGGTGAGAACGTTCTTGAAGGAGAGAGAAAATGAAGAACAGGGTGTGGGTGAGAACGTTCTTGAAGGAGAGAGAAAATGAAGAACAGGGTGTGGGTGAGAACGTTCTTGAAGGAGAGAGAAAATGAAGAACAGGTGTGGGTGAGAACGTTCTTGAAGGAGAGAGAAAATGAAGAACAGGGTGTGGGTGAGAACGTTCTTGAAGGAGAGAGAAAATGAAGAACAGGGTGTGGGTGAGAACGTTCTTGAAGGAGAGAGAAAATGAAGAACAGGGTGGGTGAGAACGTTCTTGAAGGAGAGAGAAAATGAAGAACAGGGTGTGGGTGAGAACGTTCTTGAAGGAGAGAGAAAATGAAGAACAGGGTGTGGGTGAGAACGTTCTTGAAGGAGAGAGAAAATGAAGAACAGGTGTGGGTGAGAACGTTCTTGAAGGAGAGAGAAAATGAAGAACAGGGTGTGGGTGAGAACGTTCTTGAAGGAGAGAGAAAATGAAGAACAGGTGTGGGTGAGAACGTTCTTGAAGGAGAGAGAAAATGAAGAACAGGGTGTGGGTGAGAACGTTCTTGAAGGAGAGAGAAAATGAAGAACAGGGTGTGGGTGAGAACGTTCTTGAAGGAGAGAGAAAATGAAGAACAGGGTGTGGGTGAGAACGTTCTTGAAGGAGAGAGAAAATGAAGAACAGGGTGTGGGTGAGAACGTTCTTGAAGGAGAGAGAAAATGAAGAACAGGGTGTGGGTGAGAACGTTCTTGAAGAGAGAGAAAATGAAGAACAGGTGTGGGTGAGAACGTTCTTGAAGGAGAGAGAAAATGAAGAACAGGGTGTGGGTGAGAACGTTCTTGAAGGAGAGAGAAAATGAAGAACAGGGTGTGGGTGAGAACGTTCTTGAAGGGAGAGAAAATGAAGAACAGGGTGTGGGTGAGAACGTTCTTGAAGGAGAGAAAATGAAGAACAGGTGTGGGTGAGAACGTTCTTGAAGGAGAGAGAAAATGAAGAACAGGGTGTGGGTGAGAACGTTCTTGAAGGAGAGAGAAAATGAAGAACAGGGTGTGGGTGAGAACGTTCTTGAAGGAGAGAGAAAATGAAGAACAGGGTGTGGGTGAGAACGTTCTTGAAGGAGAGAGAAAATGAAGAACAGGGTGTGGGTGAGAACGTTCTTGAAGGAGAGAGAAAATGAAGAACAGGGTGTGGGTGAGAACGTTCTTGAAGGAGAGAGAAAATGAAGAACAGGGTGTGGGTGAGAACGTTCTTGAAGGAGAGAGAAAATGAAGAACAGGGTGTGGGTGAGAACGTTCTTGAAGGAGAGAGAAAATGAAGAACAGGGTGTGGGTGAGAACGTTCTTGAAGGAGAGAGAAAATGAAGAACAGGGTGTGGGTGAGAACGTTCTTGAAGGAGAGAGAAAATGAAGAACAGGGTGTGGGTGAGAACGTTCTTGAAGGAGAGAGAAAATGAAGAACAGGGTGTGGTGAGAACGTTCTTGAAGGAGAGAGAAAATGAAGAACAGGGTGTGGGTGAGAACGTTCTTGAAGGAGAGAGAAAATGAAGAACAGGGTGTGGGTGAGAACGTTCTTGAAGGAGAGAGAAAATGAAGAACAGGGTGTGGGTGAGAACGTTCTTGAAGGAGAGAGAAAATGAAGAACAGGGTGTGGGTGAGAACGTTCTTGAAGGAGAGAGAAAATGAAGAACAGGGTGTGGGTGAGAACGTTCTTGAAGGAGAGAGAAAATGAAGAACAGGGTGTGGGTGAGAACGTTCTTGAAGGAGAGAGAAAATGAAGAACAGGGTGTGGGTGAGAACGTTCTTGAAGGAGAGAGAAAATGAAGAACAGGGTGTGGGTGAGAACGTTCTTGAAGGAGAGAGAAAATGAAGAACAGGGTGTGGGTGAGAACGTTCTTGAAGGAGAGAGAAAATGAAGAACAGGGTGTGGGTGAGAACGTTCTTGAAGGAGAGAGAAAATGAAGAACAGGGTGTGGGTGAGAACGTTCTTGAAGGAGAGAGAAAATGAAGAACTGTGGGTGAGAACGTTCTTGAAGGAGAGAGAAAATGAAGAACAGGGTGTGGGTGAAACGTTCTTGAAGGAGAGAGAAAATGAAGAACAGGGTGTGGGTGAGAACGTTCTTGAAGGAGAGAGAAAATGAAGAACAGGGTGTGGGTGAGAACGTTCTTGAAGGAGAGAGAAAATGAAGAACAGGGTGTGGGTGAGAACGTTCTTGAAGGAGAGAGAAAATGAAGAACAGGGTGTGGGTGAGAACGTTCTTGAAGGAGAGAGAAAATGAAGAACAGGGTGTGGGTGAGAACGTTCTTGAAGGAGAGAGAAAATGAAGAACAGGGTGTGGGTGAGAACGTTCTTGAAGGAGAGAGAAAATGAAGAACAGGGTGTGGGTGAGAACGTTCTTGAAGGAGAGAGAAAATGAAGAACAGGGTGTGGGTGAGAACGTTCTTGAAGAGAGAGAAAATGAAGAAAGGGTGTGGGTGAGAACGTTCTTGAAGGAGAGAGAAAATGAAGAACAGGGTGTGGGTGAGAACGTTCTTGAAGAGAGAGAAAATGAAGAACAGGGTGTGGGTGAGAACGTTCTTGAAGGAGAGAGAAAATGAAGAACAGGGTGTGGGTGAGAACGTTCTTGAAGGAGAGAGAAAATGAAGAACAGGGTGTGGGTGAGAACGTTCTTGAAGGAGAGAGAAAATGAAGAACAGGGTGTGGGTGAGAACGTTCTTGAAGGAGAGAAATGAAGAACAGGGTGTGGGTGAGAACGTTCTTGAAGGAGAGAGAAAATGAACAGGGTGTGGGTGAGAACGTTCTTGAAGGAGAGAGAAAATGAAGAACAGGGTTGGGAGAAACGTTCTTGAAGAGAGAGAAAATGAAGAACAGGTGTGGGTGAGAACGTTCTTGAAGGAGAGAGAAATGAAGAACAGGGTGTGGGTGAGAACGTTCTTGAAGGAAGAGAAAATGAAGAACAGGGTGTGGGTGAGAACGTTCTTGAAGGAGAGAGAAAATGAAGAACAGGGTATGGGTGAGAACGTTCTTGAAGGAGAGAGAAAATGAAGAACAGGGTGTGGGTGAGAACGTTCTTGAAGGAGAAGAAAATGAAGAACAGGGTGTGGGTGAGAACGTTCTTGAAGGAGAGAGAAAATGAAGAACAGGGTGTGGGTGAGAACGTTCTTGAAGGAGAGAGAAAATGAAGACAGGGTGTGGGTGGTGAACGTTCTTGAAGGAGAGAGAAAATGAAGAACAGGGTGTGGGTGAGAACGTTGAAGGAGAGAGAAAATGAAGAACAGGGTGTGGGTGAGAACGTTCTTGAAGGAGAGAGAAAATGAAGAACAGGTGTGGGTGAGAACGTTCTTGAAGGAGAGAGAAAATGAAGAACAGGGTGTGGGTGAGAACGTTCTTGAAGGAGAGAGAAAATGAAGAACAGGGTGTGGGTGAGAACGTTCTTGAAGGAGAGAGAAAATGAAGAACAGGGTGTGGGTGAGAACGTTCTTGAAGGAGAGAGAAAATGAAGCAGGGTGTGGGTGAGAACGTTCTTGAAGGAGAGAGAAAAAAGAACAGGGTGTGGGTGAGAACGTTCTTGAAGGAGAGAGAAAATGAAGAACAGGGTGTGGGTGAGAACGTTCTTGAAGGAGAGAGAAAATGAAGACAGGGTGGGGTGAGAACGTTCTTGAAGGAGAGAGAAAATGAAGAAAGGGTGTGGGTGAGAACGTTCTTGAAGGGAGAGAAAATGAAGAACAGGGTGTGGGTGAGAACGTTCTGAAGGAGAGAGAAAATGAAGAACAGGGTGTGGGTGAGAACGTTCTTGAAGGAGAGAGAAAATGAAGAACAGGGTGTGGGTGAGAACGTTCTTGAAGGAGAGAGAAAATGAAGACAGGGTGTGGGTGAGAACGTTCTTGAAGGAGAGAGAAAATGAAGAACAGGGTGTGGGTGAGAACGTTCTTGAAGGAGAGAGAAAATTGAAGAACAGGGTGTGGGTGAGAACGTTCTTGAAGGAGAGAGAAAATGAAGAACAGGGTGTGGGGAGAACGTTCTTGAAGGAGAGAGAAAATGAAGAACAGGGTGTGGTGAGAACGTTCTTGAAGGAGAGAGAAATGAAGAACAGGGTGTGGGTGAGAACGTTCTTGAAGGAGAGAGAAAATGAAGAACAGGGTGTGGGTGAGAACGTTCTTGAAGGAGAGAGAAAATGAAGAACAGGGTGTGGGTGAGAACGTTCTTGAAGGAGAGAGAAAATGAAGAACAGGGTGTGGGTGAGAACGTTCTTGAAGGAGAGAGAAAATGAAGAACAGGGTGTGGGTGAGAACGTTCTTGAAGGAGAGAGAAAATGAAGAACAGGGTGTGGGTGAGAACGTTCTTGAAGGAGAGAGAAAATGAAGAACAGGGTGTGGGTGAGAACGTTCTTGAAGGAGAGAGAAAATGAAGAACAGGGTGTGGGTGAGAAGTTCTTGAAGGAGAGAGAAAATGAAGAACAGGGTGTGGTGAGAACGTTCTTGAAGGAGAGAGAAAATGAAGAACAGGGTTGGGTGAGAACGTTCTTGAAGGAGAGAGAAAATGAAGAACAGGGTGTGGGTGAGAACGTTCTTGAAGGAGAGAGAAAATGAAGAACAGGGTGTGGGTGAGAACGTTCTTGAAGGAGAGAGAAAATGAAGAACAGGGTGTGGGTGAGAACGTTCTTGAAGGAGAGAGAAAATGAAGAACAGGGTGTGGGTGAGAACGTTCTTGAAGGAGAGAAAATGAAGAACAGGGTGTGGGTGAGAACGTTCTTGAAGGAGAGAGAAAATGAAGAACAGGGTGGGTGAGAACGTTCTTGAGGAGAGAGAAAATGAAGAACAGGGTGTGGGTGAGAACGTTCTTGAAGGAGAGAGAAAATGAAGAACAGGGTTTGGGTGAGACGTTCTTGAAGGAGAGAGAAAATGAAGAACAGGGTGTGGGTGAGAACGTTCTTGAAGGAGAGAGAAAATGAAGAACAGGGTTGGGTGAGAACGTTCTTGAAGGAAGAGAAAATGAAGAACAGGGTTTGGGTGAGAACGTTCTTGAAGGAGAGAGAAAATGAAGAAAAGGGTGTGGGTGAGAACGTTCTTGAAGGAGAGAGAAAATGAAGAACAGGGTGTGGGTGAGAACGTTCTTGAAGGAGAGAGAAAATGAAGAAAGGGTGTGGGTGAGAACGTTCTTGAAGGAGAGAGAAAATGAAGAACAGGGTGTGGGTGAGACGTTCTTGAAGGAGAGAGAAAATGAAGAACAGGGTGTGGTGAGAACGTTCTTGAAGGAGAGAGAAAATGAAGAACAGGTGTGGGTGAGAACGTTCTTGAAGAGAGAGAAATGAAGAACAGGGTGT